TCCTCCTCCTCCTCCTCCTCCTCTTCCTCCTCCTCCTCCTCCTCCTCCTCCTCCTCCTCCTTCTCCTCTCCCCCTCCATCCTCATGGTCGCTTCGCGATCGGGCCATGTCGTTTATCTTGGGGCTCCGAGCAGCGTGAAGGGGGGGCGGGGGCGGCCTGGCCTTGGCATGCGGCCGACCGTGCGGAGGGGCGGAGGCCGCGAGCCGCGAGCGCGGCGGTGTGGTGGAGGAGGTGCTCGACCGCGGGCGAAACACCCGCATCCGCGGCCTCGCGGGCCTGGCCCCATGGGCCGCGATCCTGCGGATGCGGGGCGTTTTCTCGCGGATGCCCCGCGCGGCCGCGCATCCGCACGGGAAACGTATCCGTGAGGCTGCGTATCCGCGGGATCGCGCCCCAGAAGCCAGACTGCGAGGATGCGGAAATGGGCATGTTCGCAGGTTGTGCAGGTGGCGCTCGCGGGGAGAGCCGGGTCGGAGAGACGGGAGGAGGAGGAGGAGGAGGAGGAGGAGGAGGAGGAGGAGGAGGAGGAGGAGGAGGATGAGGATGAGGAGGAGGAGGAGGAGGAGGAGGAGGGGGGCTTGCGACATCTGCCGAATGCAGCTGGTCTCGGCCCCGCCGCTGGGCAGAGTGTTCGATACACGGTCGCCTGCTGAGGCGCTGGGAGAAACAGCTATCCGAGAGTTGGTTCGCTGATCCTCAGTTTACCACCTCAGAAGAGGAGCAGGTACCGATCCCACTGCCATTCGCCTGTTTTCCCCTTTGGGGGCCTCCTGGGAGGCCCTCGTCGCCACCGCTGGATTCGCCCCAGGAGAGGTCTGGGGGGTAAGTTGCGGTATCGGTACTTTGTGGTGTCCCCACTACCCCCTTTTTTGTCCGACCCGATGCTCGAGGATGCTCGAGGGAGGGGGCAGTGTCGGTGGGGGTCTCCACGACATCCAGCTGCGGGGAAACACGGAGCCAGAAGCCATCTGCCGTGCCGCTCGTAGTTGGGTCTGTGATGACAGGGCCAGCGGCCGCTCTTGTGGGCCTGTGTTAGACTCCCCAGAACCGGAGGGGCGCGTGGGGAGGGGGACGGAGCGGAGGCCAACGTTCAGCGACCGAGGCCCCAGTCGGAGCAGAGCTGCTGTTAGCACGCTGCGGGTGTGGATGGGGGAGTTGGATGATGAGGAGGAGGAGGAGGAGGAGGAAGAAGAGGAGTAGGAGGAGGAGGAGGAGGCGGTGGAGGAGTTGGAGTCGGAGTTGGAGTTGGAGTTGGAGGAGGAGGAGGAGGAGGAGGAGGAGGAGGAGGAAGAGGAGGAGGAGGAGGAGGGGGAGGGGGAGGGGAGGAGGAGGAGGAGGAGGAGGAGGAGGAGGAGGAGGAAGAAGGAGGGCGGGAGGAGAACGGGAGGATCAGGGGGGAGTAGTCAGGAGGCGGTGCTCAGGCGGAGGACAGCGGAGGACGACGGAGGAGGGAGGAGCAGGGGAAGGGAGGAGAAGCAGGCGGAGACGCGGGGGCGAGGAGGGTGCCGACGAGGGGAGGGAGGAGCAGGCGAGGGCGAGGAGGCAGGGACGGCGTCGACGAGGGGACGGCCACGCGTGACGGCGACGGGTCACCCGAGTGGGGCCTGGTAAGGTCTCATGAACCAGCTCGATCAGCAGGACATCGTGCAGATATTGAACGAAGCCGGGAACGCAGGCGTGTGCGAGCCGCGCGCTCCCGCGACGGGGACGTTTGCGGCCGCTGGTGCCGCGCCTCCTCTGCCCTCCCCATTCGCTTTTCCTCTTCCTCCCCCCTCCTCCCCCTCCTCCTCCTCTCGTCCTCTTCTCTTCCCTATGGCTCTCCCTCCTCCTCATCATCCTCCTTCACCTCTTCCTCCTCCTCCTCCTTCTCCTCCTCTAACTAGTCTCGTGGTCTATCCGCCTCTCCCATTCCCCACGTTCCGCAAGGGCGCTTTGATCTCAGGGCCCTATGACCCGCAGTCGAGGAGGAACAGTCCTATCTCCGCTGCAATTCAGGCGTGACGACTCGCAAAAAGGCGGGGAAGTACATGCCACGTGCAGGACAGCCGGCATGCGATGGCAAAGCTTCGTCGCAGCAGCGGTCGCGTCAAACGCGCTCGTTGCGACCCCATTAATTGGACTGGTTTTTGTTAGGCCCCATGAGAAATCAAATATGTGTATCATCTGCGCGCACGCGCGCGCGAGCTTGCTCGAGGGAGGTATTTAGTGTTGCATCCCCCCTTGCTTCTCTCGGCGGGGAATAAACTCGTCCCTCGTCCTCCTCCTCCTCCTGCTCATCCTCCGCCTACTCCGCCGCCGAAGCTATCCCCCAGAAAGCCCAGCACCTCCACGCGCCCAGGGCGGCCATTGCCTGGGGAACCTCACCTTTGGTATCTTGGGGGTCGTGGATTGGTGCAAGGTCTACAGTCGGGGCCCTGAAGAAGGAACCCTTTTCGTTGGGGAGGGGGTCCGTGTGTCTTGATAGTTTCGCAGCTTGCCTTAGGTTGTCCTTAGGTGTTCGATGCGGAATCGAACTTTAATTTATGGACAATAGGGGCCTCGTTCCTTATTTAGGGTTCCTTAGGTCAACGCCCCGACTGTACTGGCAACGACGACTGCGCAGTCGGCTAGAACCTAAGCGCGCGCGAAGCGCGCGCGCGTGGTTCTAGTTCAGTGCTGTCTTCCATGGGATGAAGAACAGCGGCGCCGATTAGCATCGCCCCTCTGGAGCCAGAAATAAGGCACACATTGGAGCCCTCCCTCTGGAGGCGCTCTTGGGCGCTGTTTGGGTCCGCTCTGGAGCCTTTTATGGGCCCACATGTGGCATCTCTTGGTCGATACTGGAGCCATTCTGCAACCCCGGAAGCCCGTCGGAAGCGAAAAAACGACAGGATACACACGGTAGGCCCACCTGCGGTTCTTGAAAGAGTGTGGCTCTGTGGCCATGGAGGTTCTGTGGCCACTTGGAGCTTTACTGGGGCAGTCTTCTTGGACACTCGTTGGAGCCACGTCCAAAGGCATGATGTTGTGCCGACTTGGGATCTGCTTCTGCGCCATCTTGCAGTCCAGACTGGGCTGTCCGAGGCCATCTCTTAGCCTTCTTGGGCCCTCGCGGACGCTCTAGCCCCTCGCGCCAACTTCCCCATCTAGACCCACGGGGAAGGGTAGGGCTCCCAGCGTGAACGCCACAGGCAGTCTCGCTCACTCCCACCCGTCCTCCCACCGTCTACGTAGCATTGGGGGCTCGGCCGAGGCAAGAGCTCACCATCGGACGGACAACCGATGGGAGTCAGCGCAGACGCCAGGTGTTCGACGCCCCGCGAGGTGCGACACGCGTGCCAGGTGCGCTCTGCTCACCAAGAGGGCCAAGCGCACCTGGTGCGTCGCAGAGTGCGCCAGGTGCGCCACCTGCTCCATCCGCGCCAGTGCCCCAGTGCGCGTGGCACCACACAGCAGGCAATACCTATACGACCGCCCTGCGGGCGATAAGGAGGTTGGGGTGGGATTGAGATCAAATGCCCACCCTGACTGACCTCCAGCCTGTCACCTTGATCTCATCTCTCTCTTTCTCTCTGTCTCTGTCTCTCTCTCTCTCTCTATCTTGTGTGTCTCTCTCTCTCTCTCTCTCCAGGCGCCGACAAGAATGAATCGATGGATTGGGTTGGGTGGATTGTATTGGATGGGATAAGATGGTTTGGATAAGATAACATGGGTTGAATTGGAAGAGATGTATTGGATAAGATAACATGGATTGGATTGGCCCGCCGCAGGCGCAGAAACAAATGACTTGATGGATTGGGTTGGATGGATTGGATTGGGTGTGGTAAGATAAGATGGGACAATCTGGGTTAGATAAGGTAAGATGGATTGGATTGGTCAAGATGTAATGGATCAGATAAGCTGATTTGGATAAGAAAGCCCGCCGCAGGCGCCGACAAGAATGAATCGATGGATTTGGTTGGGTGGATGCGATTGGATGGGATAAGGTGGATAGGATAAGATAAGATGGGTTGGATTGGAAGAGATGTATTGGATAAGATAAGATGGATTGGATTGGCCCGCCGCAGGCGCAGGAACAAATGAATTGATGTATTGGGTTGGGTGGATTGGATTGGGTGGGATAAGATAAGATGGGGCAAGATGGGTTGGATAAGATAAGAAGATGGATCGGTTTGGACAAGATGGATTGGATAATATAAGCTGGACTGGGACACCTCCCGGCCACCGGCGCTGACACCCGGGACACCCGGGACACCGCCCGCCCAACCAGCCACCGGCGGACGGGAACGGACTTTCGCTCCTACTTCGGCCTAGCTACAGGAGGATCACGCGCAGCTTCGCCTCGCGCGCACGCACGACACGAACACGAAACCGAAACCGATTTCCAGGTGGGGGGTTTCTGTTTCACTGCGATCTCACCCCCCAACCTCCGATGTCGGCCCCGGCCCACTGGTGCCAAGAACCAATGCGCACTGTCAGAGGGGTGGGCAGCATGTTGCACGGTGTGTCACCCGCAGTTGGTTCTCATGGTCCTTAATCGAGTTTTAGGGACAGCGCATGGTGGACAAATATGCCAACACACTAGCCATCCTTGCCAAAAGCCAGTGCAAAGTGCTCGTGGGGGTCCCGCTAACGATCCATATTTTTCCGCTGAGCGCAGCTCGCATTATTTTGTGACAAGGGTGGTGTGGGGAAGCCCTCATGGTTCCTGGTTGGCAGCTGGTCGAGTGGGGGAGGGGGTGTTTGCCAACATGGAACAGTCATAAACCCCTCCCCGGCGGGGGAGAAGTGGTTTTGAAGAGGAAGTGCACCAAGCCACTTACAGAAGGTTCTTGCCGTGTCGACGCGGCGGCGGCCCCGCCGCGGGCGTTCAAGGCCGAATGGAGCGATCTGGCGATCGAAGAGACGCCGATCGTTCAAAGAGGAAGCATCCATGCGGTGTCAGAAACCAATGCCTGGGCGCCCCTCTTCCTTCTCCCTCGCCATCATCTTCCATCCCCTCCTTCCTTCACCCCCCTCCTCGCTCCCCTTGCTGCCCAGCCGTTTTCCATCTCTCTTTGCGCGCAGGTGACCGGAAGATGAGTATTGGTTCCAACACAGACCAGGGCAAGACCTCCTTCGCGAACAAGTCCATGAAGCAGATTGGCGAAACACTCGACCCTCAGAAGTGCACTCCCCGGGCGCAACCACTCCTCATCCGCCGTCTCGTCGTTCTTCTGCACTTCATTCCTACATCCTCCTCCATCCCAGAAGGACGTGTCGGTGGGAAGAAGATATCTTGTGCCGAAGACGGGAGAACGGACGGGACGCACTGCGGGGACAGACAGGGGACGAGGAGGGGGGGGGAGGGGGGGGGGAAGGGATGGGGCAGAGGATGGGGAGGGGAAGAGCAGCGCGAGGGAAATTGGATGTGATAGGGGGGTGGCGGGCGGCGGTCGAGCTGGGCTGGCGCAGGCCGCCCCCCCCCTCCCCCCCAAGAAGCACGGCGGCCTCAGTGCCCCCGAGGCCCGCTGCAGCGCGTGAAGAGCGCTCGGCCACTGGGGACGCCGCCCTGGCGACCACCCCAGCCTGGCCGCCCGTGTACTCGACCAGCATGCACACGACACCACCCCGCCTGCGGCCATCTCTGTTGCGCTACCGCCCATGGGGGTCCGTAGCATATGCCACGCAAAGTCCCGCGCCAGATTTGCTGGTATACGCTAAGCCCCGTGGGGCCGTGGGTGGGGTGGTGTCTTCAGTTTTCTGGTCCACGTGTGCTCGGCACTCAGCTCGTCCAGAGTTCCGACAGCGAGGGCGTCCTCGAGCGCGAAGCTAATCGCGCTTCGCGGTTCGTCTCCGCTTCCTCCTCGTTCCTCTTCTTCTCCCCTGGGGGGCGGCACGATGGGGCGAAGTGCGGCAAGATGGGGCGAAGTGCTTCGCGCTTCGCGCAGCGCGACGCTCGAAGTTAGGCGCCTTTGGACGATCTCCCGGCACCACCACTGCGAGAACCCGAGCGGCCCGCCCAGCCACCCAGGCGTTGGCGGCTCGCCCAGTTCGTGGACATCTATGGTCCGATCACCTCGCTTGCCTTCCCGGGTGGTCGCGCAGCCCACGCGCAGATCCACCGTGGGCAGTTTGCGCGGGCAGGTGCTGACATACATTCCTTCGCGTAGGCTCCAGTACGTTGGTGCCCGAAGGGTGGCTGCGGCCCGCCGCTTGGCGCCAGCTCGCTGCGTGGCCTGGCCGCGCCTGTATCATCTCCAGGATGTTCCCGCTGTTGCGGAGGGCCTCCCGCGCGATGAGTCGATAGCAAAGCATGGGAGCTTGGTACACCCTCTTAATTTTGTCTTTAGCATCGATTAGCGTCTGGGAGTCGATGAGGTAGCGCCGATTTAGCGTCGATGTATCATCGATTAGCGTCGATTCAGCGTCGACCAGCGTCGATTCGCAAGAGCCGACCAGATGGTATGGGAGGCTCCCACGAGTTGCCACCGAGCGATGAGCGCCTACCCCCTGGTCGAGCAGGTGATGTAGAGGCAACTCAGAGGAGCAAGAGGTCATGATGATCATACGTTCCAGCGTTTCCCAGATTTGTAGGAGTTGCCAGATTGTCCAGGCCTTTCGGCCTTTCTAGGGGGAGGAGGAGGAGGACGAGGAGGAGGAGGAGGAGGAGGAGAAGAAAAGCCAAAGAAAGCATCGAGGTGGACATCAACCAAACGGAAAAGCTTTTCCAGGAGACGTGCGGTTTGAAGTTTGCAAGATTTCCAGGATCGAGGGCCGTTGGATACTCTGGATGTCCTGGAACGTGTCTTTGGGACATCGCAACATTCATTGATTGCCGTGACTGCTCCAGACGTAGCGTCGTCGACGTCCGCGCGGGATCGCGGAGCTCGGGAGCAGCTTGATTGCATTGGATGTTCTTGTTTGTGGGAGGGGTGCGGACCTTGCCCTGGCTGCCGTCGCCTCCTCTGCAGCTGTCCCGTCCCCCCCCCATCTGCTTTCCTCTCGTGTCCCCGATCTCCACCCCCGCCCTGCTCCCCTCATTCCCTCCCCGCCTCATCCTGTGCTCCCCCCCCCTTCCTCCCTTTACCATTCCCACCCCCTCCCTCCCCCACTGCCGCCCTTACTCCCCGTTCATTCTCTCGCCCCCCGTTCCTCCGCCGCACCTGCTGGATGCGGCTGGTATGACGTGCTGCCCCCGGCGGATAGCCCTAGACTTGCTCTGCAGACGTGACCAGGCCAGTCCCCCTCCCTCCATGTATACCCCCCGCCCTTCCCCCATTCCCCCCGCCCATCCCCTCGTCTCCCTCCCTCGACCCTGCTTGCCCAGGTGCGCAATCGGCTACACGTGCCGCAAGGGGCTCAAGCCAGAGAGTCCCAACCAGGCCGCCCTGTCCCAGCGGCCCGCCTCGCTTGTTGCTGCTCGCCGTCGCCGGGGCAGGGGATGATGAGGAGGAAGCCGAGCGGGGTGAGGTGGAGGTCGGGGGAGGGGGAGACCGAGGGGGATGCGGAGGCGGAGGAGGGGGAGATGGGGGAGGGGGAGACGGGGGAGGCAGGGGAAAGTATGTGGGGGGAGTGGGCGATCGAGATCAGTCTCTCTCTCTCTCTTTCTCTCTGTTTGTTTGTTGTGTCTCTCTCTCTCTCGTTGATTCTCTCTCTCTCTCTCTGTCTCTAGATTTCTCTCGCTCTCTCTCTCTCTCCGTCTCTCTCTATGCATCTTCATATCTGTGTGTATGCCCCCCTCTCTCTCTCTCTCTTTCTTTTTCTCGTTTCTTCCACACATATTTACATATATATATATACACATGGATGTATCGGTTCACTCTAGGTTTGAGCGGAGACTGTCTTTAATTCTAGACGCTTCGCGTATCCCCACCAGCCCGTCCAGAAATGAGTCCCAGGGGAGTGGAGGTTATGAGGGAAGCGGGGGAGCATGCAGAAGAACAAAGGGCGGGGTGAGCCGCCATATACCCCAAGAGGGGGAGGATGTAGGAGGAGCCGTCGTCGTCGGAGTAGGAGGAGGAAGAGGAGGAGCAGGAGGAGGAGCAGGAGGAGGAGGAGGAGGAATAGAAGGAGGAGGAGATGGAGGACTGCGAGGACGAGGAGGACGAGAAGGAGGAAAAGGAGAAGGAGGAGGAGGAGGAGGAGGAGGAGGAGGAGGAGGAGGGGGAGGGGGAGGAGGGAGGAGGAAGAAAAAAGGAGGAGGAGGAGGAGGAGGACAATTGCGAACTTGGGGGCCTCTTGGGCCGTCCTTGGGGCCTCTTGGCGGTCCCGGGGGCCTCTTGCGTATCTCGGGGAGCCTCTTGTGGCCTCTTGGGGGTCTCTTGGGGGCCTCTTGGAGGCCTCTTGGGGGCCTCTTGGGGCCTCTTGGGGCCCTCTTGGGGCGCTCTTGGGGCGCTCTTGGGAGCCTTCGAGGCGCTCTTGGGGCCATCTTGGAGGAGATCTATCAAAGAAGGGGGGGTTCCCAATTAGCGCTGCCCCTCTAGAGTGCCTCGAGTCGCCTCTTGGGCCCCCCCAAGAGGCCAAAATCCTTCCAAAACCTAGGTAAAATCAATGTTACCTAACAGCGAAGACTGATAGGTTTCTAGTGGGATCAAAAGAGAGCAGCAGATCACTCCACAGGGGGTCCGGGCAGGTGTTGGGAGTTGCCGGGCGGCAGTGAGCCGGGCTCGTTTTTCACCAACAGTCACACACTTCGTGCTCTTCGCCTTCCCAGAACTCCATTCCCAGGCCACATTCTGGGGGGCCGGATGCAACTGTAGGCCACTTCGTGCTCTTCGACATCCCAGAACGCCATTCCCGGGCCACATTCTGGATGCCCGGAGCAACTGTAGGCCACTTCGTGCTCTTCAGTTCCCAGAACTCCATTCCGGGCCACATTTTGGATGCCCGGAGCCAACTGTAGGCCACTTCGTGCTCTTCATTTCCCAGAACTCCATTCCCGGGCCACATTTTGAATGCCCGGAGCCAACTGTAGGCCACTTCGTGCTCTTCGAGTTCCCAGAACTCCATTCCCGGGCCAAATTTTGAATGCCCGTAGCCAACTGTAGGCAACTTCGTGCTCTTCGACTTCCCAAAACTCCCATTCCTGGGCTACATTTTCAGCAGGGGCAAGAGCACGACGAGGAGGAGGACGAGCAAGACCAGGAGGACGAGGACGAGCAGGAGCAGGACGAGGAGCAGGAGGAGCAGGAGAAGAAGGACGAGCAGGAGGAGGAGGAGGACGAGCAGGAGGAGGAGGACGTCCAGGAGGAGGAGGACGACCAGGCAAGAGGAGGAGGGGAGGATGGGGGAGGGGGAGGAGTACGGAGGAGGAGGAGGAGGAGGAGGAGGAGGAGGAGGAGGAGGAGGAAGAGGAGGAGGAGGAGGCGGAGGGACGAGGACGAGGAGGAGTAGGAGGAGGAGGAGGAGGAGGGAGGAGGAGGAGGGGAGGGGGAGGACTCCCAGGAGGAGGAGGACGAGGAGGAGGAGGAGGAGGAGGAGGAAGAGGAGGAGGAGGACGAGGAGGAGGAGGAGGAGGAGTGGAGGAGGAGGGGGGACGGGGGAAGAGCCCAGGAGGAGGAGACGAGGACACCAGGAGGAGGAGGATGAGGCGGAGAAGGAGGCATTTTTGAATGCCCGTAGCCAACAGTAGGCAACTTCGTGCTCTTCGACTTCCCAGAACTCCCATTCCTGGGCCACATTTTCAGCAGGGGCAAGAGCACGACGAGGAGGAGGACGAGCAAGACCAGGAGGACGAGGACGAGCAGGAGCAGGACGAGGAGCAGGAGGAGCAGGAGAAGAAGGACGAGCAGGAGGAGGAGGAGGACGAGCAGGAGGGAGGAGGACGACCAGGAGGAGGAGGACGACCAGGAAGAAGAGGAGGAGGAGGAGGAGGAGGAGGGGAGGGGTGGTGTACCAGTAGGAGGAGGAGGAAGAGGGAGGAGGAGGAGGAGGAGGAGGAGGAAGTGGAGGAAGGAGAGGAGGACGCGGACGAGGAGGAGGCGGGGGAGGAGGTAGGAGGAGGAGGCGGAGGGGAGAGGAGGACTACGGAGGAGAGGGGAGGAGGGGAGGAGGAGGAGGAGGAGAGGAGGAGAGGACGAGGAGGAGGTAGGAGGAGGAGGACGCGGAGGAGGAGGGGGGGGGGGGGAGAGCACCAGGAGGGAGGAGGAACGAGGACACAGGAGGAGGAGGAGGTGGAGGAGGAGGAGGAGGAGGATGGAGGAGGAGAGAACCCACGAGGAGGAGGAGGAGGAGAGAGGAGGAGGAGGAGGAGGAGGGGGAGGGGAGAAGGAGGAACGTAGGAGGAGGAGGAGGAGGAGGAAGAGGAGGAGGAGGACGAGGAGGAGGAGGAGGAGGAGGAGGACGAGGAGGAGGAGGGGGGGGGAGAGCACCAGGAGGAGGAGAACGAGGACCACCAGGAGGAGGAGGAGGAGGAGGAGGAGGAGGAGGAGGAGGAGGGGGAGAGAACATCACGAGGAGGAGGACGAGCAAGACGAGGAGGACGAGAACGAGGGCGACCAGGAAGAGGAGGAGGAGGAGGAGGAGGAGGGGAGGGGGAGGACTACCAGGAGGAGGATGAGGAAGAGGAGGAGAAGGAGGAGGAGGAGGAGGAGGAGGAGGAAGAGGAGGAGGAGGACGAGGAGGAGGAGGAGGAGGACGAGGAGGAGGAGGGGGGGGGAGAGCACCAGGAGGAGGAGAACGAGGACCACCAGGAGGAGGAGGAGGAGGAGGAGGAGGAGGAGGAGGAGGAGGAGAGAGCACCAGGAGGAGGAGGACGAGCAAGACGAGGACGACGAGAACGAGGACGAGCAAGAGGAAGAGGAGGAGGAGGAGGAGGAGGAGGAGGAGCAGGAGAAAGAGGAGGAGGAGGAGGAGGAGGAGGAGGAGGAGCAGGAGAAAGAAGACGAGCAGGAGGGGGACGAGGACGAGCAGGAGGAGGAGGAGGAGGACGAACAGGAGGGGAGGGCGGCCGGCTGCCCCGAGTCGTGCGCACAAGGGCTCTGAGGAAGGCTCCCTAAGCTCGAGACGCTTTGAATACTCTGTAGTTTCCTCGCAGCATCCTTTCCATGCCTTTGTAGCTTCCACGCACTCCTGCGTCGCCGAGTTTCTTCTTGCAGCGTCCTTGTCGTGTCGCGGGGTGCGTTTGCGTCACTTCGGTGTTGCTGCGCCTTGAGACGTGTCTCTGCTGCTTCTTCGTCCCATCGGGGAGTCCAGCGTCACCGAATTTGTTCCCGCATTGTGCTTGTCGTTCCAGGTCGTGCGTACGCGCGCAGAATGTTTCTCTGCAGCGTCCTCGTCGCATCAGGATCTCCAGCGTCGCAGAATGCATCCTTGTAGCGCCTCTTCTTCCAGGGCGACGTGGTCCTGAGTCGCCGCGGACGACTCGCCGCGGACGGTTCCATTCGATTCCACGGGCGATCGTGCGCATGTAGTTTGCCACGCGCCTGCGCGCGCGGAGAGGGCCTGGGCGCCCTGTCGCCTGCGGGCGACCGCGCGGGTTAGTCCCCGCAAAAGCCAAAGAGGGCATTTCCACACGCCGGGTAAAGCCTAAAAGGGCTTTCGTCTGCCTGATCCCCCCCCCTCTTTCCTTCTCTTCTTTCATCGAAGTCAGAACCCCCGCCCCCTATGACGTCCTCCGCTGGCCTGGGTGGTCTACTCAGGTCGCGGAGGGGGATAGGGGGGGGGTCGTTGCCACGGCTGGTGCCTCGTTTTCACGACGGGGAGGGGGGGGTGCACCGTTCCCTCGGATGGGCACATCCCCCCTCCAAGGGCCTCCGAGCCCTCCCTCTCCGTCCTTTTCTTCTCCCTTATTACCTAACAGCGAAGACTGATAGGTTTCTAGTTGACTCAAAAGAGCTCACAGATCACTCCACAGGGGGGTCCGGGCAGGTGTTGGGGAGTTGCCGGGCGGCAGGGTGCCGGGCTCGTTTTTCACCAACAGTCACACACTTCGTGCTCTTCGACTTCCCAGAACTCCATTCCCAGGCTCATTCTGAATACCCGGATGCAACAGTCACACACTTCGTGCTCTTCGAGATCCCAGAACGCCATTCCCGGGCCACATTTAGAATAACCGGATGCAACAGTCACACACTTCGTGCTCTTCGAGTTCCCAGAACGCCATTCCCGGGCCACATTTTGGATGCCCGGAGCCAACTGTAGGCCACTTCGTGCTCTTCGAGTTCCCAGAACTCCATTCCGGGCCACATTTTGAATGCCCGGAGCCAACTGTAGGCCACTTCGTGCTCTTCGAGTTCCCAGAACTCCATTCCCGGGCCACATTTTGAATGCCCGGAGCCAACTGTAGGCCACTTCGTGCTCTTCGAGTTCCCAGAACTCCATTCCCGGGCCACATTTTGAATGCCCGTAGCCAACTGTAGGCAACTTCGTGCTCTTCGACTTC